CTGAGGACAGCATTCAGGCCCAGAGTTCAAGCCCCACAACCTACACACACACACACACACACACACACACATCGACTCCAAATGGATCAAAGAACTTAGAAAACCTTGAAACATTAAATCCACTACAAAAAAATAAATCTGTAAAACTCTGGAAGTTATAGGCACAGTTAATTTTTTTCTGAATAGGATTCCAATTACTAAGAAACAACAGGACTACATCAAATTAATGTTTCTGCACAGAAAAAGAAAGGATTACCAGAACTAGGAGAGTGTCTACCCCCAAGAAATCGAAGAAAATCTTTGCCAGCTATTCAACTCACAAAAGGATCAATTTCCAGGATACACAAAGAACTTGAAAAAGTAAACAGCAAACAAACAATTCAATTAACAAAATGGGCAAGTGAATTAAACAGACAGTTGTCAGAAAAAAGAAATACAAATGACTAAATAGAGGCATGAAGAAATGTTTAGCCATAAAAATGCAAATCATAACGACACTAAGATTTCCTCTCACCTGAGGGCATTTTACTGCATCTCTGAACCACTGTCCCTTCCTGTGCATCTGAACTTGAAGCCACTAGCCAGTATGTTGTTGGGCCCTAGCCTTTGTCTTACCTTGATCTTTGCTGTGTCATACTATAAAGCCTTCTTGTCAGGGACTGGTGGCTCACACCTGTAATCCTAGCTACTCAGGAGGCTGACATCTGAGGACTGTGTTTTGAAGCCAGCTTGGAAAGTCTGTGAAACTCTCATCTCCAATTATCACCAAAAATCCAGAAGTGGAGCTATGGCTTACGTGGTAGAGCATTAGCCTTGAGCACAAAAGTGCAAGGACAGCACCTACACCCTGAGTTCAAACCCCAGAACCATCATTAAAAAAAAAAGCCTTTTCTTGTCTACAATATTCTAACTCATCAATATAAGTGAGAATATTCTGTCCTCTTTTCCAGGAAGAGTGCTCTATAATAGCCTCATCCAAAGGAAGCAAACTTTTTTTGGGGGTCGGTTGTGAAGCTTGAACTCTGGGCCTGGGTGCTGCCCCTCAGCTCTTCAGCTCAAGGCAAATGCTCTACCACTTGAGCCACAGTGTCACTCCAGTTTTCTGAGTGATTGGAAATAAGAGTTTCATGGGCTTTCCTGCCCAGGCTGGCTTTGAATCTCTATCCTCAGATCTCAGCCTCCTGAGTAGCTAGGATTACAGGCATGAGCCACTGGTGCCTGGCAAGGAAGCAAACTTTTAAAACTGATCTTCTAGATACTAATGACAAATTGAGGAAACACAGACATAATCTGTGAAAACAGTATGAGCAGCAAAGCTTGCCTTGTATTACCTGATGGATTTGAATGCTATCACCCGAGCAAAACTACCAGACAGTCAAAACTGACCTAAAAGAAGTAAGAAGAAACTAAGAATTGCAGGAGGATCCCATTCTAGAAGCTCATGTGTTCTCTCCAGAAGGCAGGAAAGCTTTTATATTCTGTTGGGCAGAGTGATAGGCTGGCCTTCAGTCTTTATTAAAGAGTTTGATTTTGCATGAATGCACAGGTCACAGACTGTCATGTGTTCACCAAATCCTATTTTCGGAAATATGACTAGACACCATTTCCCAGCATCCTTTGCAAAAAGGAGGATGTGTTTGCTAATGGGATGCAGACAAAAACGAGCTCAACTTCTAGACCCAGTCCCTTTTGCATTTCCTTTTTGCTCCCTTTTACTTTTCCTCTTCCATCTGTTGATTGGATGTAGAGGATGCAGGAGATGACAGACTCTCAGGTGGAAGGGTCATTGAATTATGGACGGATGACTGAACACCCTTGGTGAAATGTATACAAACAAAGTAATGAAACAAAGTACATTCTTATTTTGTTAACTCCATGCATTTTTTTCTTTCTGTTTATTTGTTTAAGATAGAGTCTCACTATGTAGCCTTGGCTGGCCTCAAACTCACAATCCTCCTAATCAAGGATTGGCAACTCTATAAACTTTTTGTTTTCTTTTATTCTATTATTTTTTTTACAAATCTCTGTATTATTGCTACACCAATTAGCCAACCTGGCTAATACATAGGTTTAACAGGGAAAACAGAGTTGAGTACTTGTGCCCATATGAAATGGACTGTTAAGGACTGTAACAAAGGAAATTAAATCATAGAGAAAGGGGTAGAGGAAAAATACAGAGCCTCGGGTTCATGTATTTGTTTATTGGGCAGAAATTTGAGCCTTCTCAAGGCTGCTCAGAGGGCAGAGTGATTTTTCTTTTTTCAGCTGGAGCAAGTAAGTATCCCAAAAAAGAACCAAGTAGCACTCTTCCTAGAACACGGAGTCATCCTTCAGCCCACTAATAGTATATTTCAGTCATCATTGTTTTAAAGGGCTCTCTGGAAGAGAAAAATCTGGTGATCAGAAACTAAAATCCTGGGAGAAATCCATTCCAAACTTAATAACACCCTACGTCCCAAATAAGAGCAGAAATGCCACTATAAAATAATTTCCCACCCCCCAAGAAATTCACTAATTGAACAGATAGGGAACAAATCCTGGGTCTGGCTGAGAAGGAAAGGCATGCTAATCAAGTCATTAAACAAAGGAGGGACGTAAAAACTGACTGGAGATATTTTGAGGAAAGCAAAGAGACTGGGTATGAATAGAGGAAAAAATCAGAAACCTCATCTTGAGATCTTGGTTTATTTTGCCAGGAATGTCCTAATTACAGATAGGAAGCCATTGTCTTAGACTGCCTGTTTCTTTAACTGGTGTCGGGTGACTGAACTCTGTTTTCAGGGGTCACAGTTTCTGAATAATGGGATAAATACAACAACCAAGACCAACCAAGCCCTAACTTCCCCAGTCCAAGCAACTCACTCATTGTCCAAGCAAATTTTCCCACAGTAGGTCCAGCAGCATGTAGCATTTGGACTGAAACACAGTTGTTCTATGGTGCACCTGTAGTCACAAAGCCGTATCGGAGGCTGGACCCAGCATTGCTCAGTTTCTTTTAATTCATCTGGAATTGAGATGCTGTAAGTTAGTAAGGCCCATTCACTTCTCAACTGGAGAAAGAAAGAAAGAAAGAAAGAAAGAAAGAAAGAAAGAAAGAAAGAAAGAAAGAAAGAAAGAAAGAAAGAAAGAAAGAAGGAAAAGGAAAGAAAGAAGGGAGGGAGGGAGGGAGGGAAGGAAG